ATAGCTGTATTAGGCTGCTCAAGGATGGAACGACCTTGATTTAGATTAAGGCATTACATTTTCCATACTATTCTCTATTATTTCTTAATATTTCCTGATAGGTTGTGCTTTATCGACTACCACCATGTTTAATTTATTTGGCTACTGAGATTTATAGGCACATTTTATAGGAGGCTTACGTTTTAGTGCCATTATAGCACATAGTCAACTACTTGAACGGGTAGGATTAAAAAATGTACAGAATGTTGAGTGACTTTGTTGCTAAAAGGTTGTAGAGGAGAAACAGTTGGGTTTGAAACAGCATCTCAGTTTCTAAGGAAGGAAAGAGTCTCATTAAAGATAGGGAACAGGAAGTGATGAGTGATTCAAGGAACATCATAATCTCAGTGAAAAGAAAAACATACTGTTGCTAGAGAACAGATTAAAAAACTCTGGAAGACTGGAGTGACTGATTAAACCACGCAGTGACTGAGCTGCTGATTTCCACAAATGTGTGGTATCACCATAATGTGTATAATATCTCAAGACATGCCACATATCAGTTGATACTTAGAACCCACTGTCATGCTTATCATGTGGGCAAAAATGTTATCACTAGGCTTCAGCATGACTTCTGGTTGTGAAAGAGTAGGCAACTGGGTCTAGATCCATACAAGAACCTGTGTGTAGTGATGTTCACCTGATATTTAGGAGCAGAATCTTCAGTCCTGAATGACATACCTAAACTTCCTATATATGGCCTCAGAATGGGATCTGCAACAGCCAGCACACTGAGCAGGGGGACACCTAAGCTAGCCCAGAGGAGATGCTGTGTAGATAGAGGTGCACAGTAAATTCTGCCCCCCTCTGGGACTTGGGCACCTCCAGCCACTTCACAGCCTCTTCTGGAGCTTGCTACCTACCTTGTTGCTACCAAAAATATGCAGCCAGCATTTTTCTCTCAAAGCATGCGGCCCCAGAAGGAGCAGGTGTGCCACCCTTTTATTTAGTAGTTGAAGCACCTGCTCAGGTTGTAGGAGACCCAAATTAAATTTTGATCTATGCCTGAGGGGGTTCAACCCCACATTTGTCTCATCCCAGGAAAATGCTGTAGCTATCAGGATGTGCACTTTTCTGGGGTGGAGTAGTCTCGACTCTTGTGTTGATGCTTTTCCTTTCTGTAGGAAACAACTGACAATTCACTGGGCCACAAGAGGGGACAAGAAGGAGTCTGACTTTGTGATTAGGACACATGCCCACAGAGCCAGCCTTATGGGTGGGCAACGTGGGTATCCACCCAGGGTGCTATGGTTAGGGGTGTATCCCACGCGCACACAGAGCATGCACTCACAGCAGCACTCTCTTCCTGCACTGCCCTGCCCCAGCTGCTCCCCACCCCAGGCAGCAGAAGCCGGTCCAGAGCACTGCAGGTGGCAGCAGCGGTGCCTGCCCGCCTGCCTATCTGGCACACTATGCCACTCTGCCTCCCTGACAGACTGCGCCACATGGCCCTGCCTGCCTGCAGCAGTGCTGTTGACATGGGTGGAAAGTGCAGGGGCATTTGGGGTAAAATACAAGTTCACCCAGGGCACCATTTTCCTTAGGCCAGCGCTGCTTGCCTGAGAGGAGATACTCTTGAGTTCTGATTTAATGGACTGTTTCATATAAAATACATAAACAGTCCTTGGAGAAGGAGCCAGAACCCAGGACTCCCACTTCTCAAGGGAGTGTCCTACCCACTGGACTGTTGTGTAAAAAGGAAACTTATCCCTTGTGGACCTGTATTCAGTAGGTGCTCTGCAAATGCCTGCCAGATCTAGTCCCTTCAAGAGACACAGGCAGAGGAATGTCTGGCTTGCAGATTCTAATCAGGCTTAGTCATGAGAGAGGCATGCTTAGCCCTGACTAGTCTAAGGCAGTTCTGGGCACCTGCAGTGGACTGCTGCCAGATTTGCAAGCCAATCCCTTAATGCTCAGGGGCTGCTAGTGTCAGCATGCTGTGTTGGTCCAGCACAGGTGTGGTACAGCTGAGAGCTCACATATCTCACTCTACTGAAACAAACAGTATATCCATTAATAAGACCAAACCCAATACACACATAAGATGTGGCAGAAGCAGGAAAGAGCTTTGTTGTACTATGTATGCACGCTCAGCCAGCTAGCTGTAATCAATCCCACTTTCTAGGAACCTACCTCTTTGCAGATATTGTATTGGAAGCCAGGTCCCTAACTTAAGGCAGTGGATTCCATTATGGTAGAAAGGAGAGTAAAAGTTAGGCACTATAATACCAAGCACTTCCACACCCCAATCATTTTGTGGGGTTAGTCCATAGTGGGCTTCATTTACATGAGACACTTACTGCGCAGTAGCCTAGTAACACTGTGCAGTAGTGTGCTGGTAAAAAATTGCACTCATATGCTACTGCGCAGTGTCATTAGGCTACTGCACAGTAAGCATCACAAAAAAAAAAAGTGCGCTGGTGCTACTGCGCAGTAGTGTGAGTTACTGCATGTTTAGTTAGTACTTCATTAAGCAAGTACTAAACTAAATGCACAGTAACTACTGTGCATTAATGAATGTGTAGATGCACCCAGTGACTACCAAAGGGTTAATCTTTGCAAGGCCTTGCTGCTGCAGTCAGCTGTTTCAGAAAAGAGCAGCTGTCAGTCCTCAGCATGACCACACAGGTGTTAATATCTCACAAATGCACTTCCCTGAACTGCATCTGACAAAAAGCCAGAGCTGGGAGAAGATTGTGGGGGTACACTAAAACAGAGTTCTCATGAAAGCAGCCTGACTAAGAGTTGGGGAAAACTGCAGAGGACATGCAAGCTATGCATGTCCAATTCAGAATGGTGAGATCTGGGGGAAGCCAGTACTAGTTTAAACTAACAGAGAAAGACTAAGTTCAGGTAAGGCCAAATGTGCTTAGGCTTTTCTTGTTTTAGCCCTTTTCCTCTGCTAAATTCCTATCATATTTTTGGAGCAGCTGCCCTGAGTCATCACATTTCCTTCTGGTCTCATATAACTGTGGGAATTCCTTAGCTGAATCCAGATGCGATTGATGTAAATATGGCTAGTGAGACAGACAGTATGATCCAATCTAAAGTGAAGTGTTTCACTGCACCTGCTGTATGAAACAGGTAGTCTTCAACAAAACTGACCATACCTGGTGAAACTTGCTTTATAAGCATTCAGTAAATGATAGTTCAACAGGTCTTTTGCTTAGAAATACCTTTATTTTATAAAGCCACAGTTTGTTCTGTAAAGTTGTACCACACTTATAAAAAAGAGGTTGACAATTCGTAGGAAAAGAAAAGGCTGAAAACATATCTCATAATTCAGGATTACACAAAGGTTATATTTATAATATATATATTTATTTATTTATTTATAATTTGGAGACAATTAAGATGGAACTGCAATACAAGCACAGGTATGTGTTGGGGGTCATATTTCAGACACTTGTTCATGTCCTACAAATAGTGTTTCCTGACAGAAGGGGTTAACAAGGACCATCCCACTGTCTCTGTAATCACCATTGGCTGGGGAGCGTGGCTCAGAGAGATGATCCTAGGAGAAAGAATAAAAAAAAATATGAATTGTTTCAATGCTGCCATCTCTTCTCAGCGTGCAGTACAGTGTGTTGCTGTGCATGTCTTTGGAATAAAAAGGAATTTATGGTTATCTAATAAGAGGCTGTAGAGCTCTTATAAAACCACAAGGGGCCCTAATTTTGCTAAGTAACCCTTTTTCCACAGGCCAGTGCAATTCCTGGATGCTGTATTGTAGAAAACAGGTTTTACAGAGGTCACAGACCTCAATCAGGAGGTCAGTTTTCTCAAATTGGTCACCAAAAATTAAATTGGAGGCACCCTAAATTAGAGAGAACTTTGTACAATTCCAGCCTTTTTTTTTTGCAACGAGAATTTCTGAATTCTGTATTTGTGATTCCTACCAAGTCAGTTAAAGAAGAGACTTCCTCCAACCTGTAAAAAGGTCATTTAGAAGCAATTAGAAAATGCCAAATATACAATATAATGCTCTTCAGCAATGTATACCCTTTTCACTTGAAACTGGTGATGAGAGTGAAAAAATGTTGTGGCTGGTAGCCTGGTGTTGACTACTGGCATTTAATAATATAAGACACTACAGAGTCCCAAACTGCAATTTACTGGCAGAAAAAAAATCAATATAAATGGGGTTTTTAAATTATTTTCACTTCAGAAAGAATCATGTGCTCCTTAGAGGGCTGCCGTATCTTATTTCTCCATCTAGATGCTTTTGCATAACTTCACAGTTGCCAGGTAGAGGTCATAGATATACCAGGGAGAGGGGAGGTTAGATTTTTAGGGTCTTGCAGTTGAGTCTTAGCTTTGGTTTCAGCCCATGTAGCTAAGGATCTGTCCACCTGCAGGATATTCTACAAGTGTATGTTCAGCTCAGGTTTAAATTATTTAAATAATAGGGTTTCCATTACTACTACTTCAGGAGATTATTCTACATACTAACAGAGCTCACTGTTAGGAAACTGCCTCTTTGCTTTTTAAGATCAGAGTTGTGGTCCTGTTTTAACCTGAGTTAGTTCATTGCCCATCAGTTTAACTAGCATAACTGGAACAGTTCTCACATTGGTGAGCACCTGCCTGTTTGACTGGTCCTACTAAAACCAGTTAGATACCTAAGTGCTGATCAGTGTAAATGCTTCCTGATCATAGTTTTTACATATATGGAACTTACATCCCCTAAATATTATACTGAACAAGCCAGAGGCATCTCCTGAGAAGTGGGTGCTCAGACACCCTTTATATTGTTCATTTCTAGTGTTCCCATCATCATGATATATGGGCACATTGCAGAGATTAAGATGAACCTCTGTAAGGGGTAACTGGAACACAGATAACACAAACACAGCAACCACTTTCTCTCATTGATGAATTGATACACTTAGGCTTGTAGGTCCAAATTAAGCTAAAGCCAAAGGGAAAAAATGTATCCTGTTCCGCTTAGCTGCAGAGGTCAATCTTAGGGGCATACAGCAAGAGCTTTTGGAGAGAGCCTGATTGCAACAACAGGGCATTTGGACAAGAAATTCTTTGACCCAGATGAAATGTCCCAGGGTGGAAAGAGTGTTTCCTTGGACATGTGTAAGGTTTCCAAAGTTTTATTTATATTTATTTAGTGAAACACTGGTCTTGGGACTTGTTAGCATGCAACTGTGATACCTCTGAAGTTTCAAGGGACTGGATCTCTCTTGGTAACTCTACAGCATGCCTGTTGAAGTAGTCCATTGTGATAGCATTATTCCAATAGCTTAAGTTGTTTTCTGGGTTAGACGTCTTTTTCTTCCTCCTCATGCAGCATACTGTCAGTAGAACTGCTGTTAACAGAAACATGTCAAGAATGTGATTATTTCGGTGAGACAAGCAGTCAGTGATTCGGGCTTGATTGCTTTTTTTTACCCAGGAAAGCCAAAGCCAGATTTGGATTTGGAATACCCTTTTTAGACTGTCACCAAAGTCAGTGGAGTAAGATGCTACTAAAATGAGCTTATGAGCAACTGTATTATAATCTGCACTATGCAGAGTATACTTTGACCTTAACAGAATCTGAAATATTTACTTTTCTTTTGAGGTTGTCTTTAAAACTTACAACAAAATCACACCTTTTGCTATGTAACTGGAAGGCCTAAACAGAGCTTCCTCAAATCCCCAGAACAGCAGAGTAAAGTAGTTTATAAAGGCTGTACTGTGCAGATCTTGTTCTATGGGTTATTGTTTAGATCCTGAAAGGCTGAGCAAACCAGAAATTAGATACCTAGGCAAATGGGCAGATCTTTCCTATTCATCTCAGATATGGATTCCATGAATACGTTGTGTTCAGCAGCAAAAGCCTCTTCTCCAAGCTTCAGCCAGCTGCTATCTGGGGCATAATTTGGCTTCTTTCCACTTTTCTGTGAAGCATCAGATTAGCCACAGCTGGAGACAGGGTACTGAGTAGAGTAGACCCATACTATGAGTTGGTCCATAGAATCCTACTCAGTGCACAGCTTGCATGCCTTGTTCACATGGCCAGAAGCAGACTGATACCAGTTTTGGGGCTTGGGTAGAACTTTCCCTCAGGCCAGATTGGAAAGGCTCTTCTCTTTCCTCTGTAGCCACCTTTCTCTACAGCATGGTGTAGTATTTGCCTACTAGGATTAAGGATCACTCACCTAATTAATTTTCTGTAGGTGGCAACTGTAATTATATTCCAGGGCCTTAAGCATTGGTGCCATCTTGATCTCTCCTATTCTCAACCTGTGGGACATATTCATGTGTTGAGCACTGAACTGTTTGGCTTAACTCAAGTCTTTGGACTTGTTCTGAGGCAAAGAGGACAGACTAGTTGAATGCAAGCTAAGACACAGAACACTATACACAATATATGATGATGAAATCTGTATTATGAGTAGAGTCAATTTAATCAGCTTCCATACCATGCACTTCTAATGCAAAAATGGTTGAGAGTTTTTGGGAGCTACTCAGTATAATCAAATTGTTCTGATTTGGACAAGGAGGTTTAATATTTTTATCACTTAAAATAACTTCAGAACCTTGACAATATTATTTAAGCTAGGCACACACCTTATGTGCCCTCTTCTCAATGGCCCATTCACTAGTGGATGTTAAACAAAGACAAAGATTTTGTTTTTAGTTGGATTCACAGCCTTCTTTGTTTGCAGGCTTACTATGTGCCTGTAAAAATAAAGTGCAGACACAATCTGATTGCTTGTATATTTGAACAATCTGTTTTATATCAACAAGCAGGGAGTTGTACCTGTACCCACTCTCATGGATGTATACCCACTTTGTTTTGCAGACACCCACCCTTGTGAAAATGTACTCCATGATGTCTACATCCATGGTCAGAGGAAAGGGCAGAAAAAATGTTCAGGAATTGAAAAATATGTTATTTTTCTTAGCTCTGGTTCATTTTTTAAAAAGAATTATAGCCTAAGGGGAAAGGAAATAATGCAGAGAGGTCAGATATGCTTTGTATGTTTTGACAAACATTGCAACTACCCATTTTCCATGGGTCTAATTTCATCTTCTTGCATCTACTGACATAAAATGTCAACACAAGAATGTAAGGCTAGAGCTCAGTTTAAAATAACAGAGTTAGCTATGACAGAAAAATTGTTAATGGGTTGACTTCAGGCAATTTTTCAAAAGAAAAAGGTAAGTTTATAGTATCAATTTCTATATTAAAATAATAGGAAAATCTCTTAGCTCATGCCTATACATTATGAAACACCAGGCCATTATAAGGCTTACTGTCATGCACACTTTGACTAATGTTTCTTCAGTGTATCTATGGCTAATATCCTTACTCTGAGAGCATACATTTCTTTAGAGCCTGATCGCTTAACTTTCTCTCATGGTGGTGATCGCATTGGCAGACAAACCCATCAAAGTATCTGGAAAGTCTGCATAAGTAAACTGTTGTCATCACAATGGATGAATAATGGGACACTTGCTCTGTTCAGTTACAGAATGTCAGAGACTCTTAGCTATCTCTATCTGTCCTAGAGGCATGTTAAGGCCTCTTTTATACTACAAAACATTTCCAGAAAAACTTTGAGGGCATCTACACCCAAAGTTCTTCTACAGCAGCAAAACCCTCCAGTTACGCCATCTTTGCCAAGTGGAGGAGGGCCTCTACCAGCTGCCACTGTCCCTTCAGCAGCTGGTACCTTCCCAGAATGCACTTTATGCTCTGGCAGCATAGCTGCTGAGTAGAGCCATGCAAAGGCTCAGAAATGCATGAATGTGTACGTGGCTGGGTAGTGGTAGTTGCTTTGTGGCAGCAGTTAGTTGTAGACAAGTCCTATGACCAGAAAACGAAACAGAATATTTAGTTCTCTCCACTGTTAGGTTATGTAAAGAGCAGTGTATCGGATAGTTACCCTTCAATTTTCCTAGGTGTTACTGTTTCAGGTCTTCTCTCTAAATGCCTAAGACAGACAGTATTTTCAAAGATGCCTGGGGACATAATTACAGGAATCCCAGTAAAGCCAATGGGAGATGTAATCTTTTGAAAATCCAAGGTTTCTCTTTATAAAGTTGTATTGCCATTGTCAACAAAATGTCAGGCTTGTCTCTAGAAGCTGGAAAGCAATCATATTATGACTAGAAACAGGGTTGTACTTATTCCAAAAGGAACTGGTATCATAAATGTTTCTTGAGCTACCTTTCACCATTTGATCTTCCTGTATGAAATGTATCATTCCTCCTTCCTTAGTTATGTTTTTGCTTCTGAACTTAATGCATGGTAGAGCTACTATACTGAAACCCTTGGAATATGGACTCCAATAGATCAAGAAACCTTCAGATCAGGTTTAACTTGTGTAGCACCAATAAAGGATTCCTTCCACTGTCTTTACAAGGTGCCTTAATTTTCAGCAGCAGAAACCAGGTTTAGAAAGGATTTCTGTCTCTCTGCTTACTTCATCCTCAGCCTCTCTTTTAACCAGGGTGTCAGTCGGTGTTAACTATTGGTATAGTATTTTATTTTAATTCACATAACAATAGTAATTCATATTTGTTATCTAGGTGTACAAATGTGCTTTACAACCCTGGTTATAAATATAATTATATCCATTATACAAATTTGGAAACCAAAGCCTTGACTCACATAAATAACTTTTCTAAATAGTAATAACTGGAATGGAATTCATGTTGTGCCCTAATCCAATGTTCCATACATGAATTAATTGTATGATCCCAGCAGACAGGTACCTTCTTTTATAGAAATACCCGGAACCTTTTTATGCATATAACTGAGGCTATTAGACAGGACATGTTAAGAAATGTTGGAAGGAGGAAATAAGAATAAGGATTACAATTTAGCAAAAAAACAGAAGCTGCAGCTCCAGATACGTCTTTATTATGATGCATCTGATACCCTTGGGAGGACCAGATGCTAGGATTGCTGAACTAATGCTGCAACATTACATTTGAATGAGTCCGTTCGGATAATATAAAGAGAAACGCCAGCCTTATCTCCAAAGTTCACTTGAACCCTATCCGAAGTTCAAGGCTTAACTACCTTTTCCTTTTGTTGTTTTGCACTTTTGCATACCTCCTGGACAGAGAAATGTATATTAATGATCTGAGCACAAGACTATGTGCCAAGAACACCTGAGATGAACAATGGTTTCATTTTGAGGCCCTGAGGCAAATTACTTCAGTGTTGTATCTGTTTTTCCATCTGTGAAATGGGGAAGAACAATAGCAATGGAGCAGTAGAATCAAATATTCCTTAAGCTTTTCAGAACATGGAAAGAACCAATTCATAATTTTTAAGGTGAGAAGAGGGACCATGATGATGATCTAGTTTGACCTCAAGATTAATGTGGGACATAAAATTATACCAAGTAGTTTTTGCATCAAGTCCATAACTTCTGTTTGAACAACAGCATATTTTTAGAAAGACATCCAGTCTTCAAAGCTAGGGACAGACTTTCAAAAAGCCTGAGCCTGAATTCATTCAATCTTTGCAGGTTAGTCTAACCTGCATAGATTGAACCAGTTTGCAAAAGAACAGACATTCACTTTTGACTCTGGAAATGCAGGCACATGCCTGCAGTGGCTCAGGCCAGAAGTTGGGGAGAGCTAGAGCAAGCCCTCAGCTGGAGGGAAATTAAGTTGAGGGAATGGGTGTGGTCAGGTCCAGGCAGGCCTGAGTATGATTGGGGAGGGGTTTAAACCTCCACCCTGGCCTTCAGGTAACACAGCTGGGCATAGGCAACTGGTAGCAGGAACACAGGAGGGGAGGGCATGTGCCTCCCCTGAGATAGGCCTTTGACTTGGCACCACTCAGGACAGCAAACCATGGCCCACAGAGGTGGGTGGAGAAGCTGAGGCTCCTCCTGCAGGGCCTGCAGCAGCCTTGGTTGAGGTTTGGGCCCACCCCCCAGCCCATGGGGTGGAGGTAGCTTTACCTGTGTTCTGGCCAGTGGTCTGTAGTTTGCTGGGCCAGCCACTTCGAGTCTGCAGTTTACAGTCCGCAATTGTGCCTTCCTAAACTCAGGAGGCACCAGTCACCCCTGCAACTGGGGTCTGCCTGGAGGGGAAGGGGGGAAGCAGCTTGTGCCAGACCCTGGTAGCCTTGGAAGAAGTGAGGTTTAATTCCTACATTGCAGGGAGGGGGCCCACACGGGTACCAGTCGGCTCCACTTATGCACCTGGGGCTGTCCACTCAGGGCCATGGTGGCCTGATGCCAGTAGCCTGAGAGGAAAGTGGGGGGGGTTGGTTTAATCCCTCCATCGCAGGCAGCAGCAGTAGGGGCACCAATGTGGTGGCCTGGGCCAAGTCTCTCCAAAGAGCAGCCAGCCGCCCATAGGGAACGGGTGGGGAGGGGGTATGTGACTTGACTGCAGTGGGGGGAAGCTAAGTCTAGTTATGGAGCCCGTCTCACCTCTACCTCCTGCTGCAGCAGTGTGACCTGGGCTAGGGAGGTCCCAAGGGGCAGGGGTCAGTGCCCACCTCCTCCAGCCCCACATCTAGGCCATGGTTTACAGGCTGGCTGCGGTTGCAGTGTGGCTCCCCCCCCCCCCCCCCCCCCCCCCCCC